CTGTCTCGATATTTTGAGAACAGCCTTAATTAAATCCGTGTTCCATGTGCCCTTTTTATTCTTTGAGCACCTGCCCTTCCAAAGGTCTTTGCACGGCCCTGCCTACACAGAGCCCAGAGGATACTAAAAGACAGTACCCAAACAGCCCCAACCTGTTCACCCTGCTGCCTTCTGGCAGGAGATACAGAAGTTTCTGATGTTACACTGCCAGACTGCAGAGCAGCGTTTCCCCATGGCTGAGACTTTTAAACTCTAACTCAAATTCATCCTCAGCACTGCTCAATGGAATATAGTTTATAATTTGCTTCTGTTTACCATTCTATCATTGTTTTTGTATATATTTTCAAGGAGGCAAGGCAAGTTTATTTGTATAGCACATTTCAACAACAAGGTAATTCAAAGTGCTTTACATAAAACATAAAAGCAACAGGGAAATATAAAAAAAAGTTTAAAAACAACATAGGGAAATTGAAAAAATACACATTGAAACAGGGTAAAACAGGACAGTAAAAGTTACAGTGCAGTGTACAATCAGGGTTAAAAGAGTTAAAGAAGGGAGTCGCAGACCAAATTTTACAACCCTGTTGTATTATGACCATTAAACCTACCTTATACCTTGTAACTTGTACCTTGTGAAGTGCAAGTAGGCTGCATCAAGATTGTATCAAAGTACATTGCTTGACTAAATTGAGGTGAGTATTTACTTTTCACCATGGGAGAAGGAGCACAGCAGCCAGTCAGACCAGGTGAGCGTAATTTTTCCAGACACAGAAAATAAATAAATGTAGAAATGTATTAAGTGAACATATAAATAAATGAAAATGATTAAAGTTTAAATAAGTAAATTTATCGCAAAATGAGTATATAACTAAACATAATTTTAGTATGACATGTTTTTACGAAATACGTTGTTAGTCTGACATGTTTTCACGAAATACGTTTTTATGTAAATTGAGAAAATTTCTTGGTTTTCAGCAAGATAAAATGATATGTTGCTTACGTTGCACATTAATGTGCAATAGTTTGGTATATGGTAATAATAAATATGTTTTTATAGCATGAAACATATCTTGTTAAAATGAGAAACTGTTAATGCTACAACAAGAAACGTCTCAGGGTACGTATGTACGTATTGCATTTTGCATTAATATGTGTCCCTATTTTTATTTATTAAATAAATAATACTTATTTTGTTTCCTCATTTATGTGTTTTCCAGTGTATGTTTTCCCTACAGCAGCATATTGCTACCACCTTGACAAAAATGCTCATTTCCCCTTCGAGGGAACTCGAACTGTGTCGGTGACGACACTATGGGAACGCCTCTGGGCGTGGCAGGGCTGAACTATGAATGAAACTACTCCAATCCTATTGGTGTTGCTAGAACGGTAGCGTGTGACAGCGTAACCGGAGGGGTATATAAGCACGCTGGCACACAGGACACATTAACCCTTTTCTATGAAGCAAGGCACTCCAGGCGGGGTGAGGTGTGGCAGACCGACGCAGTGTCTCGTTCCCCTTCTCGGGGAACAAGGGTTACATACGTAACCCGAGACGTTCCCCTTCAGAGGGAACTTGAACTGCGTCGGTGACAACACTATGGGAACGAGATACCCACTCAGGCTGCGCCGAACCCCCGCCTGCCCCCAGCGTGCAGAACCTGACGGCACAACTAGGAGGAGAGCGCACGGGTGCCGGGTGCAGAAGGAAGGTCCAGACTGTAAACCGGATGCCAGCCAGCTGCGTCACACAAATCCTGGAGTGATGCCCCTGCGAGGAGAGCCCAAGAAGCCGCCATGCCACGAGTACAGTGCGCCCTTACGTCCATAGGTGAAGGCAATACCGCAGACCTGATAGGCCAGGGAAATAGTCTGACAGGGCAGAGCAGATGAAGTCTCCTGTCCTCTGCCGTCACATGAGGTGGGGGATGAAACGCCTGCAGCACCGTGGACCCTGCCAGTCTGTCCGGAACCTTAGGGACATAACCTGGACAAGGGTGCAGGATGGCCCTGACCCTCCCCGGGGCAAACTCCAGGCATCGGGGAGAAATCGAGAGAGAGAGGTGATAGCAAGGAGAAAGGTCATCTTAAGGGTCAGGTTCTTGGCCTCAGCTGACTCCAGGGGTTCGAAGGGGGCCTCAGCCAGCGCTTCGAGAACCACTGCCAGGTCCCAGTTGGGAACTCTGGAACGAGTCACGGGTCTCATCCTCCTGGCTCCACGGAGGAAGCGCACGACCAGTGGAAGCCTCCCCAAGGGCCCATCACTCAGAGGGGCGTAGAATGCTGCAATGGCAGCCACATACACTTTGAGCGTGGAACACGCTCTTCTTCGCGTTGAGCATCTCGATGCCGAACCGCTAACTCTCGAGACTGGGCCAGGACGAGCCAGTCGTCGATGTAGGTCAGTATGCCCTGGAGCCTCAGCGGGTCCAGAGCTGCATTCATGCATTTGGTGAACGTGCGGGGAGAGAGTGCTAGGCCGAATGGAAGAACCCGATACTGGTAAGCCGCTCTTCTTTCCTCTTCCTCGAAGGCAAACCTCAGGAACTTCCTGTGAGAGGGACGGATGGAGACTGGAAATAAGTGTCTTTGCAGATCTATCGTGACCCAATCCTTGGAACTGATGATGGCGGGGATGGTGAGCATCCTGAACCTGAATCTCCTCAGAGATTGGTTCAGGGACCGCAGATCCAAAATCGGACGCAACCCATCCATCGTTCTTGGGAACTATGAAGTACCGGCTGTAGAACCCGGACTCCCTGACTGGCGGGAAAATAAGCTCTCTGGCCCGTTTTCCAGCAGAGAGAGAACTTCTTCTTGTCCCAACACCTGGCTCTGCCCCGCGTGCACCGCAGTCCAGACCACCCCGTTGAACTCCTGCGGGGGGTGGAGCCAGAACTGCAGCCTGTAGCCATCCACTACGGTGCGCAGGACCCACGGGGAAATGTTTGCAAGGCTCTGCCTTGCTTCTACAAAATCCGCTAAGGGAACCAACCCTCAGGGCTGGTGGCCAGTGTTATGCGTAGGTCCCTGATGGCCCTGAAGCGAAGAACCGCCAGGGAAACTCACCAGCGACCCACGGTGTGTGAGCCCGATCGTTTTCCAGCTGCAACCCCTCGAGGCGGGCAGACTGGTGAGAGCTCGCTGGCGGCTAACGTGTCCCGAGTGCCAAGACGGCGGGAAGCCTGTTGCCTGAGCCGCCACGAGGGATGGGGACCTCGGTCAGTCTCTCTCGGGGGGGTGGTGGTGGTGGGCCCCCCTACTCGAAACCTCAGGACCTCTTCCCCCGAGCCCACCAAGACTGAATGACGGTCCTCAGGCCCGTCTTCTCGGGGGGCTTCTGGCTCCGGCGGTAGGAGCTAGCCGAGGGCTGAGCTCGTCTTTCTTCAGCCGTCGCCGTCCTGGACGCAGACCGGTGGGGGAGAAATTGCTCAAACGCCTCTCCCTGCACCATGATTTACACAACTCATTGTGTAAATCACAACTCATTGTGTAAATAATGGAACAGGAGGAAAAACAATCAGATAAGAATGGCGAGGATCGATGCGGGGGTGGCACTCGGGCTGCAGAAAGCTCATTGAGGTTACTGCCTGTCCTCGGCTCCTGCCCCGCCTCTCATAGCTGGCCGCGGACTGATGACGTCGGCCCGGCTCCCGGAAGTCATCCTCCATGATGCTGAGCACGTCTAGCTCCTCAGAGCCAGACTGTGCAAGCCTCTTTAAACTCATACCTCGGGCAGAAGAAGCCGAGAAACGGGCTCCGAACGGGGAAGAGAGGGGGCGGAGTCAACAGACGAGGACCGGAAAAAGGCCTCAGCCGTCCCAACACCCTCGGAGATATCATGCTGTGATCCCCATGAACGTAGCCACCTCAACGCTTCAGCAACCGCGGGGCCTGAGCCACGCGGAGAGTGCATCCGACCGTCTTCCGAAAGAGAGCCGCACGAGACCTCAGCACCCTCAGGGACCGGGCCTCGCCATGGCCGCAGGCAGCCCCCTCGAGAGCTGCCTGGGCATGCGACATCCCCAGACAGGAACACACATCTCATGAATCTCCCAAGCCGTGATGTAGCGTGGGCATGGAAAAACACATTGTCGGAACTGATTACCAGACATGGTCTATACTGCTTCGTCAGGATTTCCAGGTAAGACAACAACTTTCTCGATAGTGGAGCTTCCAAACATACTCAGAGTGCCTGCTGAATAAAAAAAAGGCTAATGTGTCCTGTGTGCCGGCGTGCTTATATACCCCTCCGGTTACGCAGTCACACACTACCGTTCTAGCAACACCAATAGGATTGGAGTAGTTTCATTCATAGTTCAGCCCTGCCACGCCCAGAGGCGTTCCCATAGTGTCGTCACCGATGCAGTTCGAGTTCCCTCGAAGGGCAACTGAGCATTTTTGTCAAGGTGGTAGGAATATGCTGCTGTAGGGAAAACATACACTGGAAAACACATAAATGAGGAAACAAAATAAGTATTATTTATTTAATAAATAAAAATAGGGACACATATTAATACAAAATGCAACTGGCAGAAAAACAAATATCATACTGATTTATTTCCTATGTGTCTTATGAGCCTGAATACTGTAGTTCCCTGTCAAGTGTTTTATGAAAGGCTGTGGGACCATTACAAGTCACGTTTATTTACACCTCATCAGCTATCATATTTGTATTTATGTCTGTTTACTATTAGCCTTAGAGCTTTCTGGTTTTGATGTCTCTATGGTTTATGCACACATAAGTTGCCTGTATATTTTGTAGCTGTGGATGCTGCTGCATGTGGCCCAGGAGACTGTTCCCTGTATATATGCTAAATTCATTATTCCCATCACCTATTTTGAGCTAAGTTTCATGTGAACTTGCCGAAGCCGTATGGTGGTGCGCTCATCCTCAAACACAGAGAGAGCACATAAAACATCATCGGGAGCGCGCAGCATCCGGAGGGCCGTGCGCGTTCGCGCGTCGTGAGAAAGAGAGAGGGCGGGAGAAGAGGAGTGAGGGGGGTGGGAGAGACAGGGTGCTGAAAACGATGGCGACCGATACAGAGGAGATAAGAAACCAAACAAGCTCCTGTCCCATCCCCGACAACAGTCTAAGTACTCTGTCCATCAAAATTACCCGGAAAAACCAGGATAGACACTGGAAGTTGCGGTTTATTTACCTGCAGTGCTGTGAGTACCGACACACATCACGACGTTAGACTCAAACACCCATACAGGCCACACAATCCCGGTCAGAAAGCAATGAAGAATGTGCCGCCAAGCTATAACGTTACTGATAGACATTTGGTTTCTAACACCAGGATAAATATACTTATCGTAACACGCTTCCACACCTCCATCTAACGTCTTCTGGAGAGGGGTGAGGGAGAGAGAGAGAGGGGGGGGTTAGGGATGGAACAGAAATAATAATCTGCAATAAAGATAACGTTAGTCTACCTAGCAAAACATTGTCATTTGTACAGTTTGCCATTTAATTCGGCATGCATTTAATGAAAACATTAACGTTAGTGCTGAACTTACACCAAATGTAAACTTTTCAAATATCCCCCTAATTACAATTGTTTACGTGTATGTGGGCTGTTTGTTAAAACCAATGTTCTCATTATTCACACTATATAACGTTAATATGGCTAAGGTTAAACAAGAAACGTTAGTCTATAGGTTAGTGAAATGATAGTGAAAGTTTGAGTCTGTGAGGTGACTGAAACTACTGAGGTGAAAATAATCAAGTGAATGATTAAAGTTCCCTCCTATCTCAGCTGCTATTGAGGTGCCCTTGAGCAACTTGGATTCTATTTGCTCCAGTGATGCTGCAGTGACCCAGAGTAGGCAGTGTGTTAAATGTTAGGTCTTCTTCCCAGAGGAAAACTAGCTTACTTTGTGTTTTAGCAGTAGCTTGATGTTCACCTGCACAATGATGCATGTGATTGGCCTTTTAAGAGATTAAGACAGCATTCTGACAAGTCACAGTAGGAAAAGCACAGGTTTACAGTTTAGTTGCTTCAGTCCTGCTTTTGTTCATGCTCTGTCACGGCTTGCTGGGACACTTGAGTAGAACATAGCCATCGATATTTTTATTAGTAATACATGTGCCTCCATGAGCTTAATGGTGAATGTCCACTTGAAGTGAACAAAGTGACACTGCCCTCGCCACTCCTCGCTTTTCTCTGTGGTAATGAACTGCTACAGGAGCACAGGCCAAAAAAAAAAGAGCTCCTGGGTCCGTATTAATTCTTTCCATAATTTGTGCAAGTTTGCCTATATTTGTGGGCATTTCACACTAGCATTAGCTAGCATGTTAGTTATATAATGCTGATAGACAATCTAGCTAGCTAGCCAACTAGCTTAGCAAGCTTTCATACCACAAAGAGAGTTATCGTTCACTTGTGGAGAGCAGCTACCAGACTCCACGTTGTGGTTGGCTTGATCTCCCCCTGTTCTGTCTCACTCTTGAGCTGGGGCTTACTTTGAATCTTGTGTTTACAGACAGCAACCTACTCATCCAGGCCTGGAATGAAGTCATTTTTAGGATAAGGCTAGTTTGGCCTTTGATAAATACAAATTTTGGGGGGCAAAAATGCAGGGCACCAAGGCCAAAAATTTTTATGTTAATTCCTTAACATAAAAAGTCTAACACATTTAATCCTATAAATCACTTCATTGAAACTGAAGATTTTGTTGAAGGATTATTTTGTTATTTTTATGGTGATGATAGACAGACATTCGAAGCTTCATTCGAAAACCTCAGTAGATGCTTTGAATGTAAATAAATGAAATGAAATGAGACTCTGTTGCTGACATAAATATGTAAGGCTGTGTAGTCAGACTTTTGCTCGTGAGTAAAAAGTTACAGACTGTAGCATGCTCAAAGTCAGTGGTCAAATGGCTGAGATGTCAAAATCGAAATTCCGTTAAGTGTCTATTAAGGTCACTTTGTCCATGTTCCTGTCTCACTCTTATTATTCTGTCTCTGTCTCTAACACAAGTTATTGAGTCATTATATTACATGCCTCGGCAACTGTGAGAACACAGACAAGATGAAAAAGATTATGATGACATGTCTAATTACTGACGCCATATGTCCTTCAGCCATCTTTAGAGGGGTGGTGCGAGAGCACAGAAGAGGGTTGATAAGAGATTCATGAAAAACGATCAGGCTGATTTAAAATGACAGCTTATTTCTAGTAATGATGGGAGGTCCGGAGAGTGTAAGTGATGGATTTGAATCCCACAGAAAAGTGACCCGCCTCGTCAATACGACCATCAACATGTGGTGACAGAGAAGCTGGTTGATGGTGTTTCTTGTCGTCACAATAAAGGGTCTCATAGCCGCCGTACAGTGTGTAGGAATGGACTTTTTTTTATTGATCCAGTACAGATGAATTTAAAATAATAAACAACACTGCAATTCAAAAGTGATTTGAATCTGCAGCGAGTATGATTTCATATTTTTAATAACAAAAGTGTGACCAAAATCAATCAATTATATTTCATCTTCTTTCATCAAAATACTGAATCAGTAATGCTGTATTAGGACATCCCGCCCCGTAAATAAGTACACTCCTTAAAGATCACCACAGTCACACAAACCACGCCTTTAGTTAGTTTAGTTTATTCTTCCTGAGGGGTGAATAGCAGCCACAAGTTGGTTTGAGAACATTAGAAAGCATGGAAACATCATACACAAACATTATACAGTTGTGAAAGACCCAGCAGCAACATCATACAGTGAAAACTGTACAAAATCACAGACTGCTATGCAGTTTGCATAACATTGTTCCAGTTGTATTAGTTGTAATGATAGGGTGCTGAGGGTGTGTATGGCAGATGTTAATAACCTTTTCTCAGTGTATGTTAATATCTGCAGCTGGAGAAGAGTAGTTTTTAGGTAGGCGAGGTAGAGGGAAGTCAGGGTGATTTGCTACAACGTTGGCTTTGAATCTCAGAGCGATAGCAGTGAGGCAGGACAAGTTGGTCGTGTGGCTATGAAAGATCTCAGAGATGATGTGTGCAGTTTTGAGAAATGTTTTATTTTTTTTTACCGTGAGTGAATTGAAAAAGCAGATGGAGCAGTAGAGTGGGACCGCTAACAGTGAAAGTGCAGTATCATGGCTGGAGTTTAGTCGAGTTTGTGCTGCCTGTTGGTCATGTGGGTTTCTTTTTTCAATACAGTAGACTTTCCACTGCTCCACTACAAATATTTTAAGTGCCAAGTACTTTGTCACAAATAAAAGATTTTACCAATTTTAAATAGTAAAAAAGAAAATCAGTATGTGGTGGTCAGTGTCGATATTCTGGCGGGCCGCATTTCAGCCTTTTTGTAGAGAAACACAGAGAGAGATGTTATCTAGTATTCAGGGTTTTTCCTGGCTCAGAATGGGCTTTTGGGGGTTGACTTCGCATGACAGTAAGCATGACCGGTACGTGTACAGTAAAGGCAATGAGTTACCTAATAAAATCTATGCATGCATTTTTTGTTATTTCAGACCATTTGATAAAAAAATATAACCACAACCTGGAGTAGGCTAACAAGTATAAATTAGTGTATTCATAGATATTAATTCCAATTGGACAAAACAGCAGTTTCATTTCTATGGGTTGTTTTCAGTCATTAAATTATTGTGCAAGATGAAAATGCTCCACATGGTGGTTAGTCTCTCATTTGTTCATGCAAAGTATGTATCACAAACTTATCAATAATAAACACCGTGCATGCAGAACAACAAGTTTAACATTTTTAAAGTTTGCTGTAGCGTGTCAACCTTTTCCAATGTCCCACCCGGCAATATGTTGGGCTCAACTGAGCGGTATGCGGTATTATCGCATTTTTCCATCAATGAAGTTATTTGGTGCCATGTAGCAGAGTAAGAGTGTCTGTATCTGTCACCTCACTGCACAGCGAGCCGCTAACAGCAGCTTTATGGTCGGAGCAAGCCAGCTGCTGCGTGCTAGTCAACAACCTTGCCAAGCAAACTCCTTTTTGTAGTTTGACTGTGTGTTTTTCACACGTAGCTATATCATTACCAGTATGCTAACGCCAAGTTAGCTAACCTTTAAAATAAATGTTGGTTTCGATCCACATGTGGCGCACTTGAAAGCGGAATCGTGGGTGGGTTTATTAAATGCGGCGACTTTATGAGACGTTCTGCTGATGGAGAAAGTCAGCAGAACAGAGACTCATACAGAGAGAGAGAGAGAGAGACTGAAAGATGCGGGGCCAGAGGATGTGTTTGCAGTGAGAGACCTGAGGTGTGTAAATGTAAAAGCTCCGTATCTGTATAGCACCTTTCTACTCTCTGCGACCACTCAAAGCACTTTTACATTACATCCCATTCACTATTCACACACATTCATTCACTGAGCCTAAGTGCTCAAACAGAAACGAACATTCACACACATTCATACAGTGGTGGAACAGCCACCAGGAGCAATTCGGGGTTCAGTATCAAGAACACTTCGAAATGCAGTTTGGGGGAGAAGAGAAGGGAAGAGAAAGGGAACAGATTCAAGTAGTGAATAAAATACTAAATAAACTAAAATAAGGTGGAAAATTACCTAACCTACTGTCAATACAAATACATTACACGTTGCTACCGGCCACTGCCGCCACTGTTACACTGTCTTTATGAGAGCTCAACTGTCCAGGGAGCGGATGTGATTCAGTTCTGTCCCTCAGAACCACGACACGAGCTTGTGGACTTCCAGCCCTAATAAATTGTGATGAAAGTTGCGATTTTTTGCTATTAAATTGGGGGAATAAGGGAAAACTGCAAAGGTAGATGTGAATCAATAAAAATGTAAAGGAACTTGTTAGTTACATATAGTAACACAAACACATATGCACACTAGAGCCCAACCGATATGGGTTTTTGGGGGCTGATGTTGATATTGAATTGAAAAAGAGCCGATTTATGAGCCGATATTTTGATTTTAAGAATGATTTGGATAGCAGACCCCTTTACTGTATAAACTACACTACAGAACGATATTGAAAGCTGGTATGTATGTGGGCTATAAAACCTTTTCCTAAATGGATTATGTTAATAAAATAGATTACAGTCTCAAAAAGTGAACATGTAAACAATTGCACATCAATAAATATTTGCTGCTGGAAGGTACAACTTTTTCAGCCACCTGTAAACAGAGAGAGTGCGAGAGAATATAGCATGTGTATTTCACTTTACACATTATCTGCCATGATTTCAATGTAGCATCTTCACATCCAGTTCATCCCTTTACCAGCACTCTTTAATTCTAACCAGAGCTGCGAGAAACCATTTCTCATCATCTGTCTTAGTCATGCCGTCTATGATACAGTGAGCTGCTGTTGAATGCATCTAATACAGGAATGTCTACAACTGGTTTAATCATTTCAGACACGCCGACTAACCGCAGACAGGCAGCTGGCAGATATATTTAGAATACACCAGAAACTATAGTTTAATGGCTCATTACGACGTTAGCTGCTGTAACGTTATGTGATTTTAGGGAATATTTATAAGTGATGAACTAGGGACAAATGTGGACTGTTCAATAGAACTGCCACACAGTTTCAGAATAAATCTACAGTTACATCTTTAACTGTGACTGGGTCTGTTTTTATTATAATAAAAATAAAGTCATGTAATTAACGTGACTGTAATTACGTGTTTGGTACATGCTGCAGTAAGCTCAGGTCAGCTGATTGTTTTCTTCTGTGGTTTTTGTGGTGAGGCAGTGATGATAACAGGGGAGCTGCAGCTGGTCGCCCTCTGGTGGGCAAACTATGCAACACCCATGACATGAGTGAAGGATCTGACTTTTTGTTTCTTTTTTAATTATCATATATCTGCCTTTATATACAGCCGATACCGATTAAATGCAATTAGCTCATATCGGCCAATAAATCAGTCGGGCTCTAACACACACACACACACAGTTCAGTGTCATGCAAACAAGACAGTAGGCTGTGGCTGTCCCTCTGAAAAACTAATAGACTGTTGGATAAACTACATTAACGTTCATGTTTAAACCAGCTTGATTCTTTCAGCGCTTAACTGACCGGGATGCAGCAGCCTGTGTTCAGTTATTTTTCTCGTCTGACGTCCTCCATGCGTTTCTGCCATTCTCCACGTATGTTTTGCGGCGGCAAAGTGTTAAGATGTGTCAGTACACGATTTCCTTTTATGTTCGATCACATTATTGCACATTTCGCAAAAGAGTTTACCCACGCTTTCATAAAGAAGACCTAGATCTCGGTCCGCTGTCGGTATCACAATGTCTCCTGCGTCTTCTAAACAAAACAAGGAAGTGAGTTTGCTGACGTATGACTGTGTTTTGTTGGAAACGGTGACGACAGGTCAAATTTGTGGAAAAGTTGCGGTGATTGGTCAAAACTTCAAGTTGCACTGAATTTATGATGCACTTTGAATTTGTGTTAATAGTTCGTGAAATCCTGGAGGGGCTGACGTGAGACCGTACTGATGTTTACCAGATTTCAGAAGTATAAAGTCACATGACATGGAGTAAAGAAGCTTTGTGACGACATGACACCATTTTCCCACGCAGCTATTTGTGGTATCAAGTTGGTCCTAATCAAGTTCTGTGTGTCTTTCTAGATTTCTTGACCATTGCAACAATATTGGGAACTGGAATCTTAGGTAAGTACTATTTTTTTTTTTTCTTAAGCAGAAATCACAAATGTGAGACACATTACATTTCATTTAGAAATCATGCTCTTCTCAAGAACAGCATTCCAGATAAGACAATAAAAACTGCAACCTCACATACCACCATTATACAGGAGTGTATGGGCACGTTTGCCTCAACTAATATGATAAAAACTTTGGTGAGCTATATTTGTTCTTTCTACTAGACTTCCTTCTTATAACATCAGTTCATTTGGAACATAATTAAGGCTCTGTCCATCTCCCGCCTCTCATTGGCAGAGTAAATCTAACTGTGGTTTATGAAGTGTAGTTAACATCAGAGAGATTTTTGTAGAAGTGGAAATTACACGGGACATTACATTTAACTGCTTTGTTTTTAGCAGGGTCTTCATGTAGTTCCACAAAGGTGGAGCCCTTCCAACTTAATACTTGTTCAATCACCTAAATCATCGTCTCATATTGAAATCAGCACTATCCATTTAATTTTATTGTAAGTTTGAGCCAGAGCAGAAAGGAGTGTCTGTGAGAGAGAAAGACGAGACAGTGATAGGCACAATCAAATTCAGAAACGGTTCTACATTATTTCAATTTCTAGGTCTCCCAGTAACGATTGCCCATGCTGGACTGGTGCCTTTCCTCGTCTCTTTTCTCATTGGCTTCTTTGTCCAGGTAAGTAATACATGGCCTCAACGAACTCTTATTTTGTTAAAAGACGGGCATGGTCTGAGATTTATCTCATTTGTGTCCTACATTACTCTTTTCCTTTGAGGTAGAGGAAATGGCAAGGAGAGGGATACATGTCTGCAGTTTCTTTCAACCAGCCTTTTTATTTACATAGGATCACCGGCGATTGATGCACAATGCATGCTGGTTAGGTTTATGTCCAAATGATCCCGACTTGCTCTGACGTCATGCAAACAAAAGCCAAGATAACATCCCGGGAACAAAGCTGCTGAAGCATTCGGAGCCGGGCGGCACAGTTGCTGTCCACCAACAGCAAAGCTTCATGGCACGATGTTTCCGCTGAGCTGATTGGTTTATTTTCCATCCTCTGTAATGCAGGCCTTGCTCATCTACCTCTTTGTGGAACTTCTTCAGAAATGTCAGGTGGTGCAGCTGGAATCTCTAAAGGTAAGCAGCTGAACAAACATGCATTTGACTTTTTAAGCTCCATTGGTAACACGGAGAGCAGACTTTATCACCCAGCTTCACTGACAAAAGTAGAAGCTATTGGAATACATTGAGGAGTACTGTGTACACAGCTGGAGCTCATTTGCGGAAAGGTTAAGTGAATGAAATGTTGAAAGATGGTATAGAAGGGAAGTATGTTTGCTAAATTCAAATAAAACGGTAATAAACCTTTTTCACAGCAGTTGTTTTGACTTGTCATAGTAGGAAAATCACAGTTGAAACAAGTTTCATTAGCTCAGTTCTATAAAGTGTCCCAGGAAGCCATGACAATGACTAACAAAACCAGGAACAAAGTCTCCTAAATGGAATTCAGTCATGTTTAATGTCAGTGACAGTGGTGTAGTGGATCGCAGTTGATGTGTGATCTGTACAGACAGCGGATTCAAGTTTAACCATCATAGTGTGACAAACTTTTTAAAGTGATAAATCAGTAAATTGCGATGTTGCAGTGAAAAGACAGATGCATGCTATGTTTAAATCTGAAGCGCAGTGACTGGATTAGGGGAGCCGTACTAATTTAAAAGACGTTGCTTTTGTCTCCATTGCGGCTCTGTACTGGGACACTGGGCTTACTTGTCATCATAGAAACAGATTTATTGTCGCTTCAGTAAAATCAGCTGCCTTCCCTTCAGGGCTCCAGACTAACTTTTTTCACCTCCGTCCCCGAACTGTTCCGAAAAACAATTAGAACCGTCCTGAAGTTAATTTAAAGCGTCCCAAAATCAAAATGTTGTTTCTTTACTTTATTATTCTCTATAGTTGGCATAGTAAATGATTATAAGTTGATCAAATAAATCATATTCATTTTGCTTGACAGAAAGATTTATAAACAAAACTGAAAAGTTATTTGTTGGGGCATCTTTTTACCTCGATGATAAATTATTTAATTTCAATTCAGTTATAAACTCCTGGACTTTGTTTCAGCAGGTTTTCTGCTCATGTTTAAAACTTTCTGCACAATCAGAATCTCACATCTCTTTGTTCTCTTATATGTCCAGAAGAAAATCGTAATATATTATAATATTATAATTCATAATATTTTTTAAAATTCTACCTGACCTATACTCTGCTGTGCTCCCCTTCAGACTGTACTGAATGAAACAAGTGCACTGCACTTCGTCAGAGGTAGAAACTGAAACCAACACTGCCAATCACGCAGACATCTCAGCGCAAATCCTCATGTTAACTTCTGCAGCTCCGATCAAGTGCAGCTCACAGTCCCAAACAGAGCCAGACTGTGCTTCAGGTTTTAGATGTTTATAATGCTAAACTCTATCAGCGAGTCTGCTGGTAGAGCCTCACCGCCCGCGGGTTTCATTTATGATCACGGCGTATGCCGAGTTGCATTAGCTGGGTGGAGATGATTCTCAGCGCTAGTCGACGTTATCACAATATAGATTTGTTTTTCACTGCGTGAGAAGATTGATGTGTGGCGCTCAACGCTAGCCTACACAGCGCGATTGAAAGGTCAGCAAGCCGTTTGTGACTGAGAGGATAGATGGACCTGTACCAACACATTTTCTATCGTCCCCAGGACGACAGGATGCCGTTAGTCTTGAGCCCTGCCTCCCTTCGACACAGATCCACTCACTTAGCAGAGCAGCTCCACTATCTTGAGGCCATGACATACTATCTTGAGGCCATGAGATAGTATCAGACATACTTTCTTTAGGCCACCAGATAGTATCTTGAGGCCACGACATACTATCCGACATAGTATCTTGAGGCCATGACATAGTATCTTGAGGCCATGACATACTATCCGACATACTATCTTGAGGCCACGACATACTATCCGACATACTATCTTGAGGCCACGACATACTATCCGACATACTATCTTGAGGCCACGAGATAGTATCGTGAGGCCACGAGCTAATTAGAAATAATTTTTGTTCACTAAGTGGGATCAAGGGGCTCTGTAGATCTGTGAGTTTTGTGATCCGTTGCACCCTAATCACGCCTGTGTTTTTCATGCCAAAATGCTGGTTAAAAGGCTGATTTCAGTAGCATACAGTTTTACCCTACATGTCACGGAATTTTCTCTTGTGATTTAGTAAAATTGATGAATATTAGTAATAAGTGTTCTTAGAAAACAGGGGGAAATGTTTCATTTATAACTTGGATTCATCTTTCTATGTTGATCATAGACAGGTGTCGCAGAGTGTATTGTGATGGACCAGGTGGGCGTGGAGGTATCAGCCCCCACAGAGGAAGAGGATGATGAGGATGAGGGTGAAAATGCTCAAGCAGGTGGGAAACCTTTTTCTTGAGCAACTTTAAGTTAAACTATCTTAGAGTTAAAACAGTTAAATGTCTTCACACCAGTAACCTCTGCTGTAAGAACTTGAACCATTTGAAAATGATGGTAGCTGTGGTGCTGATCCAAATAGCCAACAGCGTCATATGCCCTTATTATATATTGAAAAGATTAGAGATTACACAGTGGATCGGTTTATGCTTCTGGTAAAATGTCTAATAGAGGGATTTTAGAAATGAGGAAGCACTTCAAAATTGATTGTTCAGAACACTTTTCTCGAGGTAGATGAAGTACCTCTACATCTAGCATGTATTTCTTTCAAGCAGTTTCAAATCTATAAGATAAGTCAGTGCAATACACTGTACTGAATTGCATCATATTGCACCATAACCTGCTGCATCAGGACAGTGCTGATTTGAATTATATTGATCTGTTAACTAGATGTTTCAGATCACTGGTTGCATAGTGAGATATTAATCAAAAAGGTCTCTGTTGATATACACACCTCTTAAAGCCTAATTTGTAAAAGTCTAATATATAAGCCTTTTGAAACATGAACTGGGAGAGAATATTGAGGGTAATGGCAAGTTGCAAGTTATTCCTTATTTTGTTAATTGCCTGTATATTATCATAATATAGTAAGAAACCTAGTATTTTTTTTTTATTTTATGTAGATGCTGTAACGCAAATTCCTGTAACGTACTTCCTTAACCTCCACGTTGTTGTCTTGAAAGATTTTGAAAAACATTTCCACAGCACTAAGTCAGTACAACAATCGATCACATTCCTCCCCTCCTCCTGCCTGGAATAAAATCTCTGATAATGGCTGTACAGAAGTCACTTGAGTATTATGATAATCACTGAACGCATTTATAAGTCATGAAATGCCTTGAGCGTCCACCTCTGCCCTGCCTTAATTCTGTGACTGACCTCTCCAAGTACTGCATGTGTGGAGAGCATCAGTCTTAGACAGGAGGTAAATGCTGTAGACTTTGTTCAAACTCTAGAAATAAAAAGTCAGAAAAATATAGACTGTTATGACACTCATAATAAAGCAGGTTAACTTAATCAAGGGTCACCTACTGTATCTTTGAAGCATTTTATGCAGTCAATTGTTTATTCACAAATAAATCTATATAGAATCACTGGAAAGAGAGTGGACTAATACATGTATGTCTGATAATACCTGCTGCTTATTTTCTAAACTTTCTTCTTCCTTTTGCTGTGAGAGGATAATTGGCGAGTGTTTGAAAAAAATGTTTAAACATGACCAGTTTGCTCAAGCGTATCTTAAAAGGAAATTATAAATTAATGCTGAAAGGGTTTAAACCATGATGTAAGAACTGATTTACAATTATTTGGGCCAGTAGCTTCTTAGGCCTGCACTTCTAAGCTGCTTGGGCTATCCCACTGACAGGAGAAATTATAGTGTATAATGGCTAATTTGTTGTCTATGTAACTTGTCATGTCTCATTTACAATGATTGGCTTTAAGTTCATGTGCTCATTTTATTTGAACTTGTTCCGTTGTGCAGAGTACTGGGGGCCAGCAGCGGCCACTGTGACCAGAGATTGTAATTACAGAATACTAAACACAAATACTATAGATACTAGATTTTTTTTTGTTTGCTTCAGAGCCTGTCAAAGTGAGTGCAATGGGGCCATGATTTTGAAACCAATAGGCTGTCAGTGAATATGACTGTGTCCCCATTCAATGATGACGTGAATTGTAAACCCACCATAATTCACTTTCTTTAGCTCATGAGTCTATAAACATACACTGCCATAACTGCATGTTGATGAGCCCACAAGAGGCAACCTCCAGGTCTGAAAATTGAAGCCAGTGCGGAAGTATTATTTCACCAAGATTTATATTGAAAACCACACATAAAATTAGCAGCACTGTGCACTTTTTGTTTGTGTTTAAATAATAACAGCCAGTATCTTATGTAAACTAACGAAAACCGTATAAGTATATGCAATGACCCCATGCACAATTTACATAAATACAAAAGAGTCTCAAGAACACAGTGATAGTAATTAAAATGAGCCCAACAATTAACATACAGAGGAGTCTTCAGCTGGAGTCTACAGCGTTGCCCCTGTTGAAACACTTTCACAACCAATTCAATGGATCTTATATGAACAAAATATGTTGGTTGGGTGACTAAAATACATAATTTGTTATGTGGGCATATAGAGTCTGCAGACACATGAAACCTGGCTTGAGATGCTCAGGCCCTAATTTAATTTACAAAAATGTTTGGAGCATTATTTTGTTAGTTAAATGAATGTTTTTGGTTTTTAAAGAGATGACCAAGCGGCCAGCAGCTGACAGTGAGTTAACGACCAATTAAGCCTCTCAACACTTTACTTACCTATAATAAAATCCATTGAGATAAAACACGTCAAGCATATCACAATGTTTGTTTAATCGTTCATTATCACTAGTAAAAAGGCATTTTCGACCAGCCAAGACAGGCTGCTGCTCGGTTATACTCTACAATCTCAACAAATAATAATAAAAAACATGCAGGTTCTTTTACCATACACCGAGGCTATGCATCAAAAATCAAGGCTTTACCACAGAATGTAGCCAATCCCAAACAAAAAATGAGACAGCCTCCTAACGCTGCAGCCAGAAGAAGTCTGTGTGTGCAAACTACTCGAGTTGCCGACAGCTATGCTCGTTACTGTGAGTACGTGCAATTAAACCTTTGCGAGTAAAAAGACGACACTTTATCAATACACCTGTGTGAAGGGTAAGCATGTAGAACGGGTTGTGTTGTAGTATAACATGAAATAGATGTACTTTATACTTTACCTTATGACCCCCTCCCCAAGAAAATTCTGTGTTACAAGAACATTTATGGAGGTAAAAAGAAAAAGTACTGGATATTTTGTGTTTAGGCTGAGCTAGTGAACCCAAGTGTGAGACACAGAGAGACAACTGACCAGAGTTGTAATGGAAAAATGACTTTATTACTTAGGGGTAATGGAAATGGATAGACACTGAGCTGAGCAGAGAAGAAGCCTGGAAGCGTGGAGGACCGGGCAGGTGGAAGCCGAGGCTGGGTACGGCCAGAGGACAGTCCAGAGTGTAGCAAAGCCAAACGGGGCTCCAGAGCAGAGAGGCAGGGCCAGGAGACAGGAACTGGAGTAGAGCAGACAGAACTACAGGGAGAACACAAACACGATTAGGCAGGAGCCAACAAGCAGTAAGCAAAGATCAATCAGTGTGGCTGGAACCACAGACTGACTGAGCAGATACTCCGATTTGGCAAGGTGAGTGTGGCTGAGCTGAGATCTTGTAGGAGACTTGATTGCAGAATGAGAAGCAGCTGGTGAGGCTCTGCCCTGGCTCCCGCACACCTGTCTCCTCTATCACAGACACAGAGAGAGGGAGAGTGGAGGGCAGGACAATTTGCACTTCTTCAGGTCTCTAAAATCCCTCTAATAAAACAGTCTAAGAAGAAAAAACAGTAAGACCATGGCCTGTAATGAGTTTAGGAGGCACTGCTCTAATCTGATATTTTGGTGACTTAAATCTAATAATTCATGTCATTGACCAAATACTCATTTGTTGGCAGTCATTGCTCTACTTTAAATGAGGTCAGATGGTATGGTACAGGGTAAGGGACAAAATTAAGACTACTGAGAAGCTATTGCTGCATTCTAGTCACAGTTGGAGGTTGGATACTGTCACCGGATTATCATTGGCCATATCAGTAGCTGGCTTCAGCAAGGATATAGCCTCCGCCAACTTCACAGTAGTCTCAGTAGCACTTTCCCTACACCACAAGAATGGCAGTCATTAGTTGCATGGAATTTGCAGTAGTTTGGGTTGAGTGAATTGACCGCCTTGTCCATCTGTCTGTGTCTTTCAGATACAGGTTTACTACAGCCAGACGCCGTAGCTTTGCACAATCAAGCTGAGAGCCTGCAGCCCAACCTTCATATGCTTGGCCACCTCTTCCTATCCCGGCCCATGAGTCACGCCTTCAACTTTATCCTCCTCTTCCAGTTGTAAGTTACCATAGGGATGACAGAGCCAATTATTTTTCAGGGTCTTAAGGTGGCAACATTTACAAATCATACAAGAATAACACTGAATGTAAGAGAGAGTATGCCTCAGTTTGCTGTTTTTACAAAGAAGCAGCTCCCATGGTCATCACAGTGGTCTCTCAACAATATGTTTAAACCTTTTCACCCATCATGTTCACATCACCACCAAACATTTAAATTGTGATTTTTAGTCCTTAAAGTGCTGTGTGGAGACCTTAAGAGGTCCTTGAGGGGTTTAGTTCAAGTTTAAAAATGTATGATGATGATATCATCATAATGCCTTTATTCAGAAACCAGTACAAAATATGGTTAATATGAAAGCAGGCCTGAGTGTTTGGAAGCCTATTTCTGACACTTATGATTAAAAATCTACGCTTGTTTTGTTTTTTTTACTCTCATTATGACTTGTTACGTCAAAACAATCAGAAGTTTTTCATACTTTTGTTAGTATGTTCAGGGTTCCCACGTGTCCTGGAAAACTTGGACCAATTTTCCAGTCATGGAAAACAACTGGAAAATGAGAGAAAAGGTAAAATGTCCTGGAAAATCTTAATTTGTCCTGGAAAAGAACTTTAACATTATGTGGCGTAGTGTTGTCACGATACTGGAATTTCTAACTTCAATACAATACCTTGAAAAATATCGATATTCGATACCATTTTTGATACCACGGGGGAAAATTGACACAACAATGATTAAATTACTGAATATAATTACTGAATTATCTTAGTCAGTAAAGTTAATAGTACTGTGTGTTAAGCAGAACAGCATCAGTTAATTTACCTCTGACCTTCTGACCAGTCAAAGTATTTTCTCTGCTGTCTGAGATTCCTCAGGTCTGACAGCTCTGAGGGGGATTAGCTTAGTTTTGAGAACTATAAATTTATGTTAGGCAAACAACAGGACAACTATCTAATCGACAGAAGTTTACTGGGCCATCTTGTTTAATACTTTATTGATGTTGAAACCTCTCCAGGTCCTTTATAGAGGATGATGTGTCGGTACTGCAGGTGCTTTGCTCTTTCGTTAGCACCGCTCTGTACCGTGACTTTCATATGGGCTAGCTTGTATGCTTTGCCAGCATTCAATCACAAGTGACAAGTAGTAGCCAATCACGGCACAGTATGGCAGAACGTGTCGAAACAGGGGCAAAAACACGATTCAAACAGAGCGAATGAGACGAGAAGAAAGCGCTGTAAGACAGGAGGCGGGGCTGTGTGGGCACTGCAGTGCTATGTATCAGCTCGCTGTTGGGGAGAAGACAAGCGCATTTTCCGGATCGATACTTAAATATTAAAGCCGTTTGAAATATTCAGTATTGATATTTATCAAAAAATCAATACTTTTGACAATGTGGTGGTTGCTCTGTAATATTGCAGTGTTGTGAACACCCCCATGATTCACATCACGTGGTAGCACAGGTTGGATGACAGTATTTCAAGTGACAGAAACTCTGAACATTGTAAGTGGCATTATCCTCCAAAAGTAAATAATAGTCTGCCTGGGAACTGTGGTAGTTTTTATTTTACACCCCTCACATTTTTGTAAATATTTGATTATATCTGTTCATGTGACAACACGAACTGAAATGACACTTTTCTACAATGTAAAGCAGTGAGTGTACAGCTTGTATACATTATAGTATAAATTTGTTGTCCCCTCAAAATAACACATCACACAGCCATTAATGTCTAAACCGCTGGCAACAAAAGTGAGTACACCCCAAGTGAAAATGTCCAAATTGGGCCCAAAGTGTCAATATTTTGTGTGGCCACTATTTTCCAGCACTGCCTTAACTCTCTTGGGCATGGAGTTCACCAGAGCTTCACAGGTTGCCACTGTTGCAACTCCTCCATGACGACATCACGGAGCTGGTGGATGTTAGGCTACGTTCAGACTGCAGGCCAAAGTGACCCAAATCCGATTTTTTTGCTCATACGTGACTCAGATCTGATATTTTTATAACAGTGGGAGGGTTAGCAAGTATAAGCTAACTGGAGCTAACCTCTGTGGCTCCTTGTTTACTTCTGTACAATTGCGTGCTGCTGTGTCTGACGTCGTACTATTCTTCTGTGCATGCGGGTCACTTTCAGGCCGCCAGTCTGATATAGGCCACATTTAAAGGTTCAGTGTGTAAGTTCTAGTGACATCTAGTGGTGAGGGTTGCAAATTGCACCCCCCCCCTCTCCTACCCAAGCGAGCATTATAGCTACGGTGTCTGAGACAGGACAAAGATGTCATCTATGAGATAAAGGAGATTGTCAGACAATAAATGAGGTTTCTTTTAGATATATTAAGAGATTATATAAATTATGTAAAACCAAATATGTATGTAAACAAATATATTATGTAAAACCAAATGTTTTTTTGAATATTATTGTTACTTTTTCATTAATAAACAACAGCCACATGAAAGAAATGAAGTGCTACATGATGTCTCATACTCCTGTGATACATTATTTTACAACTTGGGAGGGTTGGCTAATCTGGACTAACATACCAAAGTAAATGAAGAAATTCTCAAACACTATCACATCTAGTGCATCCAGTATGACCACTGACAGATACCAGGACAATGTAAGCCTCACTGTTTCTGCACCACAGTCTGTTATAAACCACATAATACATGAAGTTTACAAAGGCATTGTCAGGTGAGGATCAAGGCTCCTCTCGCTTTGTTTAGTTAGATAAGCAATCTGCAAATATTCCCAAAATGTCTTGAATTTTTTGAAATACAACAGAAACACAAAGTAGTACTCACAGCCATAATTTCAGCTTGTGGTAAAACGGTGCAACGTTTTACTGGGCATTTAGCATGTGAAAGTACAAATTACATATATTTGTGTGCACAGTGGGACACAATATCCATTTTTTTAATGCAAATTTGGAAAGTATTTATTATTGGTCACTTGATAGGCACATGGTCTTTTCATATATCATCATTAGCAGTAAAAAGAAAATCATGTTTTCCACAAGGGCAGTAAAATGTGAAGTTTAGCTGCTGATCTGAGCTTCTCTACTGTTTTCATTTGCATCGCTAAAGTCTGACAAACAAAGTTAATTACCTGTCCAGCAGAAAACAGACAACTTCAGCACCGCTTTGAAAACATCAGTCCCACATTAACGTTATAACATTTCATCTGGGAAAATCCACAAAATCTGTGATTTCTGCTGTCAGCTGTCTGTCCCGACTCCGTCTGGCTGTCTGCTCTCGTGCTAAATAACACGTGTGCTCCTTCAGTTCCCCCAAATGTCACTTCTCTTCTTACTTCTAATAAAGCAGAAGAATACTCAGAGACTGATTATTACAATTATTATTAGTCTCTCTTCTTCATCTTTGTACGTATTCAATGTAGTGACGGGCGTCTACACTACCGGAATTACACAAGCAGAAGAAGAACGGCGTGATGACGATAAATAATAAAAAAATAACGGTTCATTATGTAAGGTCTTTACACACCACTGAAAACATAGTTATGGATCTTATGTTGCATTTTTTGTCAGTAGAACCTCAGAAATATTACACACTGAACCTTTAAGCAATAATGTGAGAAAAAAACAGAAAATCGGATCTGGGAAAAAAAAATTGGAACTGAGCATTAATCAAATCAAAATCAAACGGAGTTTGCTGATGAACAGATAGCTTTACTTGTTGCTAAAGTAACAGCTAACTGCTATTAGCTGCTGTTAATTAGCTCAGTTAGCTGTCATATTAGCTGCCTGGACTGGGAGCTCAGAGCACTGGGGGAGTGTTAATGTTTAACGTTACACTTCTAATATTACTCAAACCATGGAGGTTTTCAGGCCAGGGGGCTTGTAAAGTCTTTGTTCAGGGGCGGGGGACCCAGCAGGGAGTGATGGCAGGTAGTGTTAGCGGCTCTGGAATGGCCTCCGGAGCAATAAAACCACGTTCAGCAGCCTCCCAGTGAACACAGCCTGAACAGGACTAAACAGAGCGTCAAAGGCCAACAGGGAATACAGTACCAAAGTGATTTACAGAGCTTTGGGATGGACAGATAGCTTTACTTTTGATAAACCGTTAAATGCTGCTAACTGTATCTGTAGCTAGTTAGCTCGGTTAACATTAGCCAGGCTGCTAGCGGTTTCATTAGCGGACCCCGAGTTCCAAGAGCCAAACCCAGCAAGAAAACCACTTCGGTACTGTATTCCCTCTCATCAAACTGGCCTCTGCGGGTCTCGGAGAATGTTTGGTTTGGTCCTGGCTGCCGTGTTCACTTGGTGGGAGCTGGAACCAGTCTGCACAGAGTCTGTCTGACAGGGTGCCTAATTTCTTGAATGGCAATCTCCTTTATCTCATAGATGGCGTCTTTGTCCTGTCAATCACTGTAGCTATAGCGGGCGTAACGCACATTCAGCGCTATTGGCTACTGCAAATGTCAATCAATATTTGCGACAAGTCCCTCCCTAGCTTTGTGTTTCAACAGGAAACACCTGAATATTCGGAAGCAAATAGCACTTCGGTTTCCGTTTCATGAGAACTTTAAGGCCTGCAGTCTAAATGTAGCCTGTAGGAGACAGGTTGGGAGGTATCTACCGTCAGACCTCCCAACCTTATGGTGAAGTGGAGCATTTAGCAGCTGAAGAGATAGACATTTCCCACAAGATTTGGTGGACAACAAAACAGACCTGTTTTTTGCATCATATCAGCTTTATAGATAATACAATGTTGCGTTTACAGCTTGTTGTGCTGCTCCCGAGTGACCATAAAATCAATTAATGCAGTATTAGTTTTGTTTATGTTTGATTAACTTTATTATCCTAGATGGAAACTGATTGGGTGCAGTGTGGGTACCAACAGTAAACAGTACACAATACTACATGGTATAAACCATCTTATAGCCAGTACTGCTCCCTATTTTTTTTCTGTCCGTAGGCTCCCATGACTTATTTTCAGCAGCATGTGTACTAAGATCAATACAGACTTGAGCTAAAATATTGGCTCCTGACCTCTATGACATTGTTTGAATTATAACCCAAGTCTACTATCAAATCATAGCATGCAGGTTCACTGTCTTCTGCTTGGCCATTGTTACTGGAATAGGGTGCAATATCCTAACATGTTTAATATTAACAATGAGAGAAACCTGCCTAGTCATTCCTGTTTCAGTGTTCTGGACCAACACAACTACTCTCAACTGAGCCAGGGCTGCAGACTTGTGTCCTTGAGGTTCAGACTTAATATCATTTGCTGCACAGTCTTGAGATATTGAGATTTACAGGTCTGAGCCAAGTAAAATATAAAATATGATTATTGCTGCAGCGTCTGCAGTCTGCTGATTTTTTTAAGGTGTCCAACCTGTTTTCAGTCACTGTTCTGTCATACATTTAAATTTGACAGCTAGTAAAGTAATCTTTGCAATGAAATTCTGAATCAAGAGACCACTGTGGCTGGTTACAGAAGAAATGTAGCATACTTTATTTTAATTTACAAACGTTGAACGGTGTAAAGAAACTCCCACAATGCTGTAAAAGCAAATTGTTGTTTGATTTCCCTAATGGAGAACTGCATTCTCTTTCTGTTTTTATTTTATTTTTATTTTTTTTTATCAATTTCTCCAATGGCTCCAAACAAATGGTCTGTCTGTGTCACCCAGTAAAAGTAATGGTCTGGAAAAGTCATTGTATAGGCTGATACTGCTGATACACCAAAAAAACACAGCTTCAATTAGGATTAGCACCAACTGGCTACTCTGGACTTTCACTTGTCCGTTAAATAAAGCATAATAATTTGTTGTTGTTGTTGTTTTTTTACAATGGTACACTAGTATAGCTTAAAGGACAGGGCTGTGTGTTGACGTGTGTGTCCTTATGGGCAGAGAGGAGGGGGAGGGGGCTTTTAGCATCGCTGGTGGAAGGTCTTGTTATCAGTGTGCGAGCAGCTCTGTAACACCTGGCCAATCGATAGTTCCCTCTTTGTGTTCAAGGAGGCTTAGTGGTCGATCAATGCCGAGGCTTGACCCCGCAAACACACACAGATGCGCGCACACAGCACACAAAACATAGCCTGCATCTTTTACCCTTGGCGCCCCTTGGTCTTTATGTACTGCCCTACACGGTGGAGCTGTTGTACGACACACACAATGACACACTAATACTGTGCACAGCAGAGAGAGACATGCAAATATACACATGCATGTATACGCACAATACAATGAATGCACATAATTCACAGTGAACGTGTATTTTTAATACATTGGAAATACCAATACAAAATGTTTGCTGATCAAGAAAATGAATAATTCATATAATAATAATTGATAATAGACCTGTGTATATATTGTGTATGTACATGCTTTACTGTAAAATATCTTTGTATTTTTGTATAATTTAGAACATTTGAATTTGGAGGATTGAACCCTAAAACTATTATACTTTATTCTGCCTCACTGAGCCAGCTAAACACATACCCACACATGCAGACAGGTGACAAATTAAAGGGAAAACTCTCACTAAATGAGTGGGTAATGTAGCAGAAAATAACAGAAATACATCCATAAAGGCAAAATGTGAAAACATTTCTTCCTTATTGAACTTTTGCCAAAGCTTCCTTTTAATTTTCATGTACAATATGAAAGTTAAAGCAGAATCCTCATTGCTGCTTAGATTCTTTGAGAGCTACCTCAAAGAGCAGAGCCTTTTTTGACCAATTCCAACTGTGTAACTGCTCACTATAAATAGTCAATTCTTGATGAAATTTTCTCTCACAGAACTTGAGAATCTGTGCCAAGGAGCACTGAAGTTGTTTTGGAGGTTCGTGGTGGACTAACACCAATCTTCCTTTCATTTGTCACCCATCTGTACGTATTGTGTTTGGATGGATAATTTGGATTTCATTCCAAAGCCGCTGTTTACAGTCTTGCCCAGGCATGCAGGTGACGCATGTTCACAAGCCCTGCAGCTGCCATTGATTTGGCTACAAAAAGTCCTGTCAGTGCAGTAGATTTGTCGTGCCTTGTATACAGAATGCATCAATGTACATCTTTCTCTTACGTCTTTCACACATTTTAGATTTAGTGTTCATTCTTATATCGCACATATTACGTTTGGATTTTTTGGCCTATGGTAGTATGTGTTGTTGACCAACAGTATGTGTGAACATGAGCTCAGAAGTCCTACAGCATACTGCTGCTTCATTTTAGGTGTCATGACATGTTACACTAGAGATATAAAGAGGCATTCAAGGACCTGTTGTTGATGGCTAAATGTTGTGCGTGTTGTTGATATGTTTGCAGCTCATTTTTGTGGGGAAATGTTCCATATGTTTGGGAGAGTATGACAGGAAGTTAGAGTTCTATTTAAAGTAACATAAAATGCCCTTCATCCCTGATGATTTTATTTACTTTTAAATAGCTGTGGTTAATATCTCGAGTTTGAATCATCTTTTCTTTGACATCACATGCTCTCTGTTCTTTCCTGTGCAGCTTTGGTAAGTTGTTCTTGTTCAAAAGTACGGCTTAGACTGCTGTAGATGAGAGGACTTAGCCCGCATGAAACATTTTTTGGAATTTCCTCTTAAGATTTGAAAGAGAGGACATTTGAAAGAGTGGGTGTAACTCAGCTCTCCAAAGTAACACTCAGCTGTCTGGAGAAAATGGCTAATGGATTTGCACTCTCAACAGCCAACTGTTGAGAGATTACAGAGGCTTAAGGTTATAAGGAGCAGAACATATGTTGAGCTACAAAAACCTGTCTTGTCGTTCACTTTGGATAGAAGCCTACAGTAAAAACACTCATTTCTAATGTTCAGCAAAATCCATCTCCTTTCTGAAGGCACATAGATTTCTGGCTTTGTGTGTGTGTTATGCTCAGAGTACATATGAAATGTACAACCAAGGCATTTGCTTTAAGTGGCCTCCAAAGGCAACTTTTGGTTTGAGCAAATATAAAATCGAAAAGTTGTGGAGGATCAAGGCTCTGCTTTGCAAACATTAAAAAAATGAAATCTCTTAGCTGTTCAAAGCCTCAGGCGCTATGATGAGGCAACATCTTAATGTTATTCAATGGAGGAGCGCTAACCATGATAGTAGATGATGACCAATTACTGCCTAATACCTAACAACGTTTCTCTCCTTTTTCTTCCCCCTTTTTCGTTTGCCTGTCTCTTTTCTCCTCTTTCCTTTCTCTTCTCTTATTCTATCTCTCTCCAGTATTTCTATTGGAATTAGTTATGTCTTAGCTGGCAGTGAGGCCTACGCAGCTCTTCTTAATGTCAGGTAAGTCTTCCACATACACAAATAATCTGTAGAAGAAGTACAAACTTGCCCGAAGTGAAGTGTATTACTGCTATTGACTTTATTATTATCTGGAGTAAATTACTGAAAGGTGACATGGGTTGGAGTTTAGTAGCCCTTTGTGGAATCTGAATCCAATGTGAAATATGCTCACTTTAAAACTGAATCATTTGAAATTTCTAATCCTATCCATTTAGATTCAGCTTCAGTACTAAAGTATCTCACTGGTGTATCTAATCAAAGCCCAAGACTAAACCTAACCAAACTGCAACTGTTTCACATTGTGGTCACACAAGAAGCAAACCCCAATCTGCCATGTGAAAGACACGTAGCTAACCCATTCATCCATTGCACCTGCTCCCTTTATGGACTCATTGTACTATCTCACCTGACTTCCTAAAACCTTTCTGGCAGAAAGATTTAAGAAAGCGGTGACACGATGGAGTCGCCCCTCTGAGTTGAGGCAATGTTAGCCATGTTGATCTTGAAAGTGACCGCTGCCTCATGTGGGGTCAGAATAATTGGGGGGGGGGATCTGCAAAATTTTAACAGAAACGGCTATCAACATGCTTTTTAAATGCTCTGAGCAGTAAAATACAACACATCTTTTTTATAGCGTCCATGTTGTTTTCACATTACAACACCACTGGAAATGGGACCATCCAAGGAGGATGTGAATGCACCAGGTTATGAATGACAAAAATATGTTAGTGCAAGCTCCCTGGAACCCATGGAGATTGCATTGGAGTTGGAAAAAAACTGCCGTGGCAGGAAAGTCTATCAGACCGTTCTTCATCAAGACTGAAATTGCCTGAAAGGATCGGTACTCCACAGATCACGACTTTACAGGCAGAGGCAGGACAAACTGTCTTGAAAATGTGTTACATTGAATAAATTATTAAAAAAATAATACTAATAATAATTTATTTTTATTTTGTAGGAGGGTGGTGCCCTATTACCCTCTATTGGCTAGCTGCCCCTGTTCAGCTTTCCACATTTGTGAATTAACATAAATTGATATCTCTCTAATAAGGATGGGAATCTGTGTGTGTGTTTGTGTGTTTGGTGCAATGTGAACAAGCAACATGTTCAGAATTAATAAATACAGAAGAGAACAGCGCTGAGCTGAGCTCTGCAGCAGCGACAGCAGGGAGCGCTTGCAGAGGCACAGCGAGGCTGCTCGAGTGGGTGGAGATTAAGTTGCACAGCTCTGCAACAATGAGAGCGAGATACAGTTGTGGGGGCAGGGCTTATGTGCTCCGATCTGGTTGTGAATTGTTGAAATGGAGTAATCGTCATCACGCAGGTTTGATAAAGGGTGTTGAAACAGAGTCGTAAGAGTTTTATGTTTAGTTCAAGTGCTGAATATCAAGCAGTATCTCCGCCATTGTCATGTTGTTTTGGTGTTATTAATGACGTGTTATTAATGACGTGTTATTAATGCTGTAGGTTGGGTTAGCAGATAAGTTTGATTTTCAAAACAATTGTCGGGTTCCTGGTTAGCTCAGTCAGTAGTGCACAGGCTTTACAATCGGAGGGTTGTGTTCCCCCTTGCCCGTATACATTTTTTCTCTTCAACAAATTACCTAAGAGACTGTTTCACATGCTATTAAAGTAATTATTTATTTATTTGATCAGCGGCCCGCCTCTTGCCGAAAAGCGCATGGAGGCGTCACATCGGCCCCTGTGAACAGGCACTGCACTAGTAATATGAATTCATGTTTAACTGGGGCATTCCAACTCAAGGCCCTGACATGATCAGCTAGATTATTTCACTGTAGAAGACTCACCACTATGTTAGTCTTATTGAACTACAACAACACACTGTCCACTTTGTGCCTCACTAATGATCTTTGAGAACAGACACCAGGTTACAGAGAGCACTTAAACCAGACAAGCCAAAGATTTCATTTTGGCCTTTTGGTAAATAACTATGACATTAGTGTTAAGTAGTTACATACAGTATCTCCACCAGTAATACAGTCCCCTCCAAAAGTATTGGAACGGTAAGGCAAATTCCTTTGTTTCATTGTTCACTGAAGACATTTGGATTTAAGATCAAAAGATGAGTCTGAGACAAGAGTTCAGAATTTCAGTTTTTATTTCCTGGTATTCACATCTAGAGGGTTTTTTTGGAGGGGACTGTATTTGTCATTTAAACCAAAAGGCATCGTCCATCGCAGGCTAAAAAAGAGAAGTCTGAATGAAGATATTTGTTGGCCTAGGAGCATGTAGTATCCTGCTATTTTATCAACTTGGAACCTGGTCCAAAACAGAGCTGGCTCGTGGTAACCCTCTACATATTAATATTCCTAAAGCTTACACTGTATTGGACGATAATTAAAACTTATGGCCCCAGTTTTTCCTAAGGACATTAATAGATATTTATGTGATAGATACAGCATTTCAAATGGTTTTAGTGTGTGCTTGGGATAAATCCCACTCTTTTTAGTTACATATGGATGTGGGCTGGAATCAGGCCCCTCAGTCTTTTTTAAAATGAATTAATGTTTTAAGTCACCTCACGTTTGCTTATTCGCCGTGTGTGAAGAGTAGGCATTTTGTTACTATATTACTATTATTTCTATTTTCCCATATGCCAATACCATATGTCTTGATTTTAGTTTAAGTTTTAATTTACGACTTTGGTTGGAGTCCAGGGTTAGTGTAATTTGTAAAATCCACAGTGTAACATCTACCGAGAGGGGCTTAGATTGTCTCTTTTGTAACATCTGAGTTTTCCATCTACATATAAATCACTGTGATACTTTTTAGGGTTAGCAGTGTGTGATTCAGAGTGACTCATTCAGACAGTTCAGAAACAGAAACTCTTTAAATAAAGAATAAACACTTTACTGTGCAGTGAAAAACATTTAAATAAAATAAATAATATGCAAAGAATACCAAATGTCAGGTTTTAAGATATCAGAGGCTGAAACACTGATTGTTAAGAAAAACCTTCTGTTGCTCTCCCACATCAGTCTGACTCTTCATCAGTTCCACTTTCATTTCTCACAAAGCAAACATTTGAAAGTGAATTGTCAGTTCAGGGAAGTGTTGCTTAAGGCTACGTGATCTTACAATATAATATATTTCATGAAATTGAATTTTTTTAATAGCTGATGCAACCCTGAGAGATGATAGCTGCCCACTAGAGTGGGAGGCTCTGAAAGCATTGCATGAACTTACAGCATCCTTTTAAACAAACATACACACACAGCAGAGATGTTTCCTGAGGCAAAAATACTCCATTATCAGATGGTGAGGATTTATTTATTTATTTTTAATGTCTGTGTTAGATGACTAACCCCAGTCTGAAATCTCTACTAATAAATACTAAATGAACAGATACCTGTAAAACTTTTCATCTGTCACTCACTTCACTTAAAGGTTCAGTGTGTAATAATTCTGAGAATCTACGCAATATAATGCAAAATAAGATCCATAATTATGTTTTCAGTGGTGTATAAAGACCTTACATAATGAACCATTACGTTTTTATTACCTTAGAATGAGCTATTTCTGTCTAAATACAGTGCGGGTCCTAACTGTTGGGCAACATTTTGTTTACAGATACCTACATGTTGTCACGCTTTAAGTCAGAAAGTTGTTACTAAAATGTAAGGAACTCATCATATATTGTGAATGTTATATCTTATTCTGGAAAATATCTAGCTGCACAAATTTCTTCTGAAATGTTATTGAGACTACTTCAAAAGACTAGTACAAATACAACCAATTATTTGTTGAGTGCTTGGATAAAAAAGACGCTGAGAAAATGTTGATAACAAATAGTATGACGTCTGAGATATATACAAAACAACATGATTACACCTTTGCTGCATGGTCTTACTAAAGCTCTTAGTAATATGTACCCAACTGAAGTGCAACTTGTGATTTTCTACAGAATTGAAACATCACAGTTACAGTCACATTTCTTTTATTTATTTCACAAATATGATAATATGCAGAAGGAAGTGAAAAGACAAGTTTCACAATCCCTCCTGTGCTGTGGCCAACCAAATAAAATAACTGACTAGCAAGCATCTCTGAGTCTCTGAGCAGCAGTCTGAGTTTGTCAGAAACAAGCGCTTATTGTGGACAGAATTTGGACGGGCACACTTGCCCCTAAGCAACACGTTGCTGCCACTGCAGCAGGTTTGTGGCTGCCGGCTAAAGCATCTACTGCACAGATTCAGAAACATTTTGTACCTACTAGACATTTCAGCACCAAAGTATGTGAAAATAGGGTCCAGGTTTTAAAATACTGAAATAATCCGTTAGTGTGTATGTCTCAACTCTGAGCAGGTTGTTGAAAAAGGATATCATTAAGCTGTTAGACAGTTTTGGGGTGTATTCATTTACATCATTGTGTTGAGGAAGCCCTCTGAAGCGTGAAAAACCATGATTCACTTTGAAAAGTCCTCCATAAACAAGAGACATGACAATTTTTCTGCCACGCAATTCCTGGAAGGAAGCCACCTGAAAAGTTCTGGTTCGAATAAGCCTGGGGATTGTTTAGCTAGAGATTAGAGAGTTAAGTACAACACATTGTATCAGGTTTACTTAATTTACTTTCTCTCACATAAGAAATAATAGTTAGAAATAATATTGAGTTTGAAAACACAAAATGTCTAATGTCTGAAAATAAAACAATATACAGATACAGATTTGTATACAAAGGCTGTCTTCCGTACATACACGTAAACACCCAGAACATTCTGCAGTGCATTTTTTTAATTTGCGTCTGGGGAGAATGTGTGTCCCGGCTCTCTTTCCTCTCCCGCCATGGTGCCTGGTCCGGTTGATCTGGGTGCTGGTCTTTGAGACGATCTACCACCCAGATCTGAGTCTTTCTTTTCCAGTGACTGTGTTTCAGCAATAAAGCTGGAAAAAATAGATATAGAAGTATAGCGAAGTCAAAGCTTCAGCATTTGCTGCGGTTTGCCATAGAGATTATAAGGATGAGCCCCACGTAAGTCATTTTAGAGCAGTCATAAGGATAATACTGTCTATATATAGAATAAAAGCTGAAATGCTGCTGTGTTTAAACTGAAGTTGTTGAAACTGAATAGTGTGTTATCATACTGGTGGCGTTGACTAACTCCTACTGCACTCTCAAGTCACTGAAGCAGGAATCAATGCAGCTCTGTGAGCCGTCTCTTCAACTGATCGTTGTTGCCCACCTCACTCCTCCCCTTTCCCTCTCCCAAGCCTATAATTACCTTTATCAGTTAACAGGACTAATTTATTTTGTCATGCCCCAGTAAATACTTCACCCAAATAATAATATTATTAAACTCTGTGCGTCGGTTGCACCGCTTCATTGGCACGCCGGGGTGCTTCATTATCTGCTTGCTCAGCGCCTGGGGAGATGCTGCGATGCGTTGTGGGAGTGGGATGGCAGGGTTACTGGAGTGAGAAAACCTTGGGCAGCCTCCTTTGGATAAACCACCTTATTCCCCCTCCCCGGGGGCAGCAATCAATAGGTTACTGCAGGTCTCTGCACAAAAACTCTCCTCTCAGTCCCACTGCTGTAAGATGCTGGGTGTCCTGGAGACAAAGCAAACAGAGCTCTGCGAGATTTGAAGCAATACTTAGATTCACTCTCAACACAGGGACCAGATTATTGTCCCTTAATATTCCTTTAACAGAGTTTTAGCTCGTTTTCTGTGTAGCTTAAAATATTAGAGAAGTAAAACAATATCTTAAACCATTAAGTTAACTCTCATGTGATTAATTAAAATGTGATTAATTAAAAAAAACATCCTTGTTTCTACATCTAGTGATGTTAAATCTTATAATCTTACTCCTGCTAATTAATACAGTTGGCATAACGAGCTAACAGTTGACTGTAAAGTTGAATGTTTTCACTACGTATTTTTAATATTATAATTTATGTACAAATACACATTTGTAACAGTTATTACTCTTGATAGTTTAAAACCAAGTTAGGGAGTTGTTCCTTGTCGAAACTAATCATTTAATGGCTGTGAATGACAGTAACGTTGAGCACATAGCATGCAATTGTTTGTTTTTTAATAACATTTTGTGATTACATTATAATTTTAGTGTTTTAATAAAAATGTAGTTTATATTTGAAAAACAAGCCACAATAAAACGGAAGTGGATTTCTGTTATAGTTATTATGACATTATTATTAAATCAGTTTTCTACATTCTTTCTCAACCAAACAAAACATTCAGTGTATCTTTTCTCACTGGTAAAACTTAATGGATTAAAAAAAAAAAGCTTTTTAATTATATTCATTGAAAAAGAACATAGAAAGAGAAGGCACACAGAATATGTGGCTTCATCTGTTTGGCCAAATGCTACATCAGAAATTTGTCTTTATAATGATAAAGGTCAAAAAAAGTCAGCTTTTCGTATTGTTGCCTGCGGGATTGATAGATCATCATGGGTAGAACTTACTGCCGCTCTCCCTCATTCACCACGTTCAAGACCATCACGAAGTGAACACAGTAGAGCATAAATAGGAGATTTCTAGAAGAAGGAGCGGGTTTATATCATGCTGTTTTCAGGAGTTTCATCTCTATGTGGATACTTTGTCTCTGTAATCGTCTTGCATCAAATAGATGGGCTGAGGTTGCAGAACCCTATATTATACAAGTGTGAAAATAGCCAAAAGCACATATACAATATACAGTCACACATATCATGCAGGTCATATACAAAAGCACATCCTTGATAATGTGCAGTATATTAATAGAGCCTTTCCAACTCTAAGCTGTTTTATGTTGACCCTGGGTGCACTTTATGCCCACAGTGCATGGCAGACCTTGAGCCTTGATTCATGGAGTTAGGCCACTTGAAATTCAATTATAACCATTTTAGAAAAGCAAACAGTCAAGAGTCAAAAAGAGCATATAAAAACATAAATACACAAATAAATGAATAATAAGTTAAAATAAATGCTAATCCAGTGCGTGGCCTCTAAACTGGTTTGCTCAGTGGAGGAAGAAGTTGTTACACAAGTAAAACTACAGAAGTATTATCAGCGAATCGTACTTAAAGAATCAAAAGTAAAAGAAAGAACAATATTGTTCACATTATGTGTTTTATTTCATTTGATCATTTCTGGTGATGCATTAATGTGTAAGCAGCATTTTAATGCTGTAGCTAGTTGTAACAATTTTTCTATTTCTATCTATTCAGTGTTGGAAAGTCTCTACTCAAGCATTTGCTTCTTATGTAAAGTAATTAGTAGCTCAAAAAATAGTACAGCACTTGAATAAATGTAGACTCTGTGACTGAATATTTGTTGAATGGTTGTTTTATGTGCGAATAATTGTATGCGCAGATGCAAGACGTTACAGAACTGTCGACTTAGTCAAAGACATAACGTCGGATGGCTTTTTACCTGCAGGTGTTTTGATGTGTTTTCAAGCCTTGCAGCTGACACACCAGATGTTGGTGTTGCTAATGAGATTAGCAGACAAGTGTTTGTTTTTGGAAGGTAGCTGAATTTTGGACCACAGTTTGGCGGAGGTATTCGTCACCAAGGTTACAAAGAAGCAGTCTTTCTTTTTCTCACATCTTGCATATTAAAGCTCACTGCTTGTGTTTATTGTTAGCAGTCAGGTAATGTTCCTAGTTCGCTGATGAGGAGTGTCTTTATACCTTAGACTTCAGTTTCATCTCAGGTACCTGCCACCTTCAAAAGTTTTCCGATGACTCATCCATTGTTGGAAGCATCAACAAAGTACATGGCGCAACAACAATTACAACCAGAGAAACTGGAGCCTCCCTGTCGCCGTTATACAGGGAGAAGAAGTGGAGTGGGTGGACTCATCCAAGTACTTTTGGGGTCCAGATCAATTAAAAACTGGACTGAAACTGACAACTTTGACACCTCTTAAGGAAGGGACAGAGCAGACTGTCCTACCGGAGGAGGTCCAGTTGTCAATGCTCTGTTTGCTGTGGTGTTCTAGGGTGGTGGCATCAAAGCTGGCAAGGCTCACCCAACCCACATGTAAAGTGTTACATTGGTGCCCAGCAGTGGAGACCACACACTGTGACATCATGTCATAGTGGTGTGATGCTGGCTCGTCACACCACTGTCACGTTTGCCTTGTAATTTAGTTTTTAATTGCTGTTTTAGAGATTCTATTTTTGCTTCTTATTATTTAATTTTTTACTCACTCTTTTTAATCTGTATTTATTTCCTTGTGCTGCTGCCACATCAGAATTTCCCCTCTGGGGATCAATAAAGGCTTATCTTATCTCAGTCACCACATTTGGAGAAGGCTCTGCTACTTGCACCTGTAGGTGTGTCAGTGTATCATGACAGAGCAGGGGTCCAGGCAGGAACATTTGTGTCATTCAGTTGTTCTGTTTACTTAATGTCAGCATAAATAAAAGCTTTCAAATGCATGATTGCTTGTGTGTTTCCTCCACAGGCACGTCTATGTGATCCCGGCTTTCACCTGGACTCTAACTCTGGCTATCTTACTAGCCCACACAGTCATCCAGCCAATCACTTCGCTGCTTACCCTGCTGAAAGGAATCATGCTCATTGTCACGGTAACCCAATACTCGATTTTATCCAATTTTCCATGGTTATTATTTGTCATCCCCAATAATGAAACAAATTCCTTTCAGTTGGGAAGAACTGTGGCATATCATAGTAATAAGAATACAAGAATAGAGAAGAATGTTAGGAATAACAATAATAATGTGATCAGTATTATATGAAGTAGTGAGTTTACACTTGATATTAGACATAGAATACTCATTGTTCCTGTGTTTTGTCTGACTTTTCTGGTGTAGTAGGGGTGTTTCCTGGTGTGTCCAGCGATGCTAACATGAAGAGAAATGAATCTCTGGTTGCTTGGTAGTTCTGCTGCAGATTATACTGATTCCATACAGTTGGGCGTGTGTCACCATTTATCATTGCTCAATAGTTCATCTTACTTTAAACACATGGTAGTTGTTGCATTCAACAGTATCTTATGTTGAGTTGACTGTAGTTGTGTTGTGCCCATTTCATCAAATGTGTACAAATCCTATACTCAACTTGTCTCTGTTGTATACATTTCAGTACCTTGTTTGGAGATCTGTAGGAAGATAAATGGGACGTGGTGCTAGCCTCCGACTGATACTGATTTATGTGACTATGCAATACACACAGATTTACTGAAGTGGCATACAGTATATACTGAGATATATATTTTTTACAGGCAGTGAGGTAGAGGGGGAAAAAAGGCATTGCTTAGAAGAAAATGATGGGAAAAGACGAGAGGAGTAAGAGAGATGCAGTAGAGCTCAAACCTTTATTGCAGTTGCAAACTTTTAATAATAATAAAACCTAATATTACATTTTTTCTTTCATGTTTGTCCTCTTCACAGTAAAACAATTTTGACCCATCCAACTCTTTGGGCTCTATCTTATACCTGGCACAATGCGGCTTGCAGCCAAAGTGTTATTGCTAGTTTCCAATCGACGCAGTTGTCATTTTCACTCCCAGCAACCGCGCTGTGTAAGTAGGTAGGCTTTCAAAGGGAGTGGGAGATTACACTATGATTGGTTTAATTCATGTTACGCCCAAAAAAACGAACCTATGATTAATTAAGAAACTGAATACATCCCCATTGCCCTTGTGCTTTACTTTGTGCCCAGATTATGTGCCGTTTAACTAGCAAAAGTGGAGTTGGACACACCCAAATGCCCTTGTGTCATGCACAGTAATTTAAATAGGGCCCTTTGTTTGCGTACTTTGCTTTTGAATGTTTTGTCCATTACTCTGTCAGATACCATTCTGCTATCCGTCTACGCACAGGGTACCCGTGGGGTCTTAAAAGTATTAAAGTCTTAAATTTCATATTCCAAAAATAAGGCCTTCAAAGTATTAAATTTCGTTTAACAAGGTCTTAAATTTGTTCTTGTCCTTTCATAGGATTAAATAAATGCAGTAACGTCATAAATAAACACTTTTTATGTGTGTGACTATATAATTTACTCCGTTTGGTGTGACTCTGATGTTACATGGCAGTACAGGTAACGTTCCTACTTATGTCAGCGTGTCAACTCTGGCGCGTATCATACAGTTAGGAAAGAAAACAAAACGTCTCTGACGGGCTACTAACAAGCTAACGCTAGCTCGTCAAATGGGAAAGTGTCTGAAATTATGCAGTGATATTGATGCAGAAAATGTCTCCAGAATGCAGAAAATTAAGTGTTTAGTGCTCAAAATGTTCTAAGGGACCACCAGACCTCCATGTATATATTTCAGCATTGAATATTTCATCAAAATAGTGTTAAAATATCTTCTTGTCTTGTTCTCGAGAACCCAATATTGTAAATCGTGCATGTAAGCTAAGTGTATCGCCACACCCCTAATCTGAACCCTTGTGTCCCCACCACTTTTCAACACAAAGTGACGTCCTTGATTCATATCAAAGTACAAACACACCCCAAAAAGCTATAGTGTGTTAAATATTAATGTATTATAATAAAATGTTTTATTAAATTCATGTAACTTTGTAAATAATTTCCTCTGGCTTAAAATTAATACAGATTTTTCATTACACGGCAGTAAAGCTGGTATTAAATTTAATCCTAGGTGGTGTTAATAAGGTCTTAAAAAGTTTTAAATTGAACTTTGAGAATCCTGTGGGTATCCTGTATGCAGGTGGAGACCTTATTTCGATACAGCCTATCAAATGAACATTGCGGTTGTTGCGGTGCTTTGCATCCTCCACGATAGGCTTGACCAATAGCACGGTATCTAAATTTTTGCGGTTATCACGACATCTAAAATGTATAGCACTACTACAGGCCTATAAAGGCCACGAGTGGTCAGACATTAGTAAGGTTTTTAGGATTTCAGCCAATATTCTTGAACTGATCGAACATTTCTGTTTCTGTACAGCCCTGCCACGCTCAACGTTAGAAACACAGAACTTTGTGACATTTACCCATGACTGTGCTGCCAGCCATGTACATTTGACATTGTGTCATGAATGAAGGTTTGAAAAACTTCCACTGAAAAACATTTAGGGGCACTTTCCTTTTTTGTTTTCCTAGTGGTGAGTAGGATATTCACAATGCCATATAATCAAATGCACTAGCTTTGAAACTGTGGCCAGCGGTTCCAATATTAAACTGCCTAAATGTGAGTTATGTTATTGCTTGGTATCTTAGTCTCAGAAGCCTAGCAGTTCACATTACAATATACTTCCCTATCCTTTTAAATATTACCTTCCATAAAGAATTAAATTGGAAATGTGAAAATATAATTAAGACTTCTTCTAAAATGTTGTAATATATGATTTATTGTGTAGTGTTTTACTCTCTGTCTGTTATTTGACAAAAGAAAAGTCTTCTCTCACCTTCACGCTTCACATTTTATGGGCTTTTCAGTTTTGTCTTTATTCACTCCCTAAAAGTGTATATCCTCCGGACCTTTCTGATGGATGTCATGTCGCCATGACTGCTGTCTGCGTTCGAGGTCATGCCGGCAAAATGGATGGGAGTGGCATTATACACTGGTCACCTCATGCAGAAGCTGTGGTGCTTATTGAGCTCCCAATATGTGTGTGTGAGAGATTTGGGCTTTTCAGGTCATTGCTTGTCAACATCAGGGAGTGTCAGCAGCTCAGCATGAGCTCTTGAAAGAAGTCTTTAGGCCTGGGCCAGGGTACATTTAACACCATCACAAAGCTCAAGGTTACAGTGCCTCAAAAGTATTGCACCACTAACTGCTACATCTGCTGTGTTAGGTGTGGTCGCAACACTTTGACTGACACACGCTTTCTGACACTATTTACACAATTTGACGTTAAAATAATGAATTAAAGGATATGTTTTAGGTCTATCGTAATATAATACTCACATATCAATGTTGTATGTAGTTTGAGAGAATAATACTGTGTGTTTTGACCTCCATCTCTTACATTGGAATCGCATTAGGACATGGTCACTTCACAGCCAGTATGGACAGGAGAAATAATTACAGTAACCAAACAAATATTTCACAATATTTTCACTTTTCTCAGGGGGTGCCCAAAACATATGAATGTGTATAATTATATTATTTATTATATAGAGCCAACAAACTGTGCAAAGATCACATCACATTATCACATTATATTAGTTCACTCAGTTAAAACAATCTCCGCATAACAGTGATAAGATGATTGAATGGGTAATACAGCAACCACCAACCCAGTGAAATCAATACCAAAGAAAATAATCAGCACAAAACATCAAGATTGACTGGGTTTCACTAAACATACACACAGGCAGGCTACACACACACACACACACACAATCGCCTCACTCACATTCCCATCACATACACACACGCTTCCAGTGGTACATTTGAAACAATTTAAATAGTAATACAGTGCAAGCAGAACTGATCCAGACGCTCTAATGTGGTTTTAATTAAGTGTCAATTAGCATTGCTGGTGTGACCTAACTGCTCACTGGTGTGCCACCCAATGTCATCTGGGAAAGGCTCCTGCCCCCGTCAGCCCAGCAAAGGATAAGCAGGTATATAATGGATGTATGGATTTATAACTATTATCTTAATTGGACAGCAATACAGTGCGGTCACCTCACAGTATGATTGCCCTATGGGTACTCACAATTGCATGTAGTCAGAGCCTGTATTTTGGACCTTAAGGCCCAGCTCTGCCTATGATTATGTAATGCAAGTAATTCTGATAGAACATTTGGATATAAATATATTCTCAGGGACTTTTAGTTAGTTAAGAAAGCCATGTCTGTATTGTAGGTGCTGAAGATAAGATCTAACACATCTCAATGTGAAGTAGGAAATCTCCAGTGCCTTTTTATGGTCAAATACATGATAACTCAAAATTGTAGCCAGTCACTGATAGGAACCTAAATGTGTTATGTGCTATTTGTTAGTCTGAGAACTCTGCCACTTCATGTAACAGTAACTCTCTCCATCTTCCTAAAACATGACATCCTAATTTAAAAAAAATGGTCTCACTCACTAGAAGAAATGCTTACGCAGCTTTCCATTGTTTTTCCACTGGGCTCGCCTCTCTGAGCATTTGTGTTGCTGAAGACAGTTTGTCACAATTCTTCCTTTACATAGAATCTCCCCAAGGACAGAGGTTTTACTTTTCTCTCCCTATGTTGCTCTGCACTCTTTGAACCACTTCAGTTCAGCTTAATCACTGACATATTGGCAGACGAGCTGTTGCAGGATTAGTCACTGTCAGTGTTATTTAGTCATATTCCACTGGCACTTTTCTACTGTTACCCAAGACAATCGTATGGCACTTTATGGTCTTTTGGCAGGAACATCTGAAATGTCCATATAAAAAAAACCAATAACTTTCACAGTGAACCAACTCTTTGTGTATTCTTCTTGAAAGGATAGACTCACTGTTTTTTTTTCTTTTTTAAATTAACAAAACTTCACTGATAGCCTTAGAACTGGGAAACGTGCCGCTCTGCTGCAGCTTGTCTCACAGCGCATGTTCTGCTGCGACGTCACCGTCTTGTTTTCTGGCTCTGAACAAATCAACAAACAAATCTCCCTCTG